GTCCTCCATGGTGGCATTACACCGGAGGCGTGGAACAGAAGTGCGGTGGTCTTGTTCTTCAAGAAAGGTGACAACGCTCTCTTGAAGAACTACAGACCGATTTCCCTTCTGAGCCGCGACTACGTGGTGTTTTTGAGAGTCATTACGAATCGTCTCGCGCGCAGACTTGACGACTTCCAGCCTCCCGAACAAGCTGGTTGCCGAAAGGGCTTTAGCACCATAGACCACATACATACCCTTCGGCAAATTGTACAGAAGTCCGAAGAGTACAATTTGCCACTATGTCTGGTGTATGTGGACTATGAGAAAGCCTTTGATTCCGTCGAAATTTGGGCGGTGCTGCAGTCCCTTCAGCGGTGCCAAGTTGACTGTCGGTATATCGAAGTGTTGAAGTGCTTGTAAAGTAAGGCTACGATGGCTATCCGAGTACAGAACCAGAGTACGAAACCTATCCAATTGCAGAGAGGTGTAAGACAGGGTGACGTCATATCCCCGAAACTCTTCACCGCTGCATTGGAAGACGTTTTCAAGCTTCTGGACTGGAAAGGATACGGTATCAACATCAATGGCGAATACATCACTCATCTTCGATTTGCCGACGATATAGTCCTTATGGCAGAATCGCTGGAGGACCTAAGCACTATGCTCAGTGACCTCAATAGTGTTTCCCAACGGATAGGTCTTAAGATGAACATGGACAAAACTAAGATCATGTTTAATGTCCACGTCACACCTATGCCGGTCGTTGTTGGGAACACTAAGCTCGAAGTTGTTGACGAGTATGTTTACCTGGGACAAATAGTCCGACTAGGTAAGTCCAACTTCGACCGAGAGGTCAATCGACGGATTCAACTCAGTTGGGCAGCGTTCGGGAAATTACGGCACATCTTCTCGTCAGGTATACCTCAAACCTTGAAAACGAGACTGTACGTTACGGCACATCTCGTCAGAATTGAAAACGAGATTGTACAACCAGTGCGTGTTGCCAGTGATGACATACGGAACTGAGACGTGGTCCTTCACTGCTGGCCGGATGAGGAAGCTCAAGTTCGCTCAGCGAGCTATGGAGAGGGCTATGCTCGGAGTTTCTCTGCGTGATAAACTTAGGAATGAGGATATCCGCAGTAGAACCAGAGTAACCGACATAGCCCAACGGATTAGTAAGCTGAAGTGGCAATGGGCCGGCCATATAGCTCGAAGAACCGACAACCGATGGGGAAGAAAGGTTCTCGAGTGGCAGCCTCGTACCGGTAGGCGAAGTGTAGGGCGTCCCCCCCACGAGATGGAGTGACGACCTGGTAAGACATGCAGGAAGTCGATGGATGCAGGTGGCTCAGGACCGTGCTTTGTGGCATTCTTTGGGGGAGGCCTATGTTCAGCAGTGGACTTGTGAAGGGCTGTAATGATGATGATGATGATGATGAGACACTATTCAAAGTGGTCGACATGTATTTACGCAGTACAGTTGTAACTGCATTTTTGGGTGCACAACTATTGTTTGCAAAGCTCATCTTATGACAAGAAGATAGTACTTGAGCTGGGCATACATCAAACTTCTACCATCGAACCGATTCGATCGATTTTATTGGAAAATGTAGACAATCCTCCTTTTGTGAACGACAGGTAGCCAGCTACATATGTTTTACATTATTTTGTGGCGAAAATAAGCGCTATCAATATTATAAATTTATTAAGCATGTTTTGAAACAAAAGTTTTTTTTTTTTAATTTAGTGACATAAGTTATTATATTTTTTCCATATTAATTATGTATTATGTATTTATTAGGTTTAGGTATTAAGTTCTGCAAAAGCTGTTTACTTCCTCTTGAATAAGGGCGTAAATACTAGCCTAGAGGTAGTTAGCGCGGCTGCGTCTTAGTTTCAATTCCTGGGTCGAGTGGTGTTTTTGCATTTTCTAAATTCTCAGTTGCGTTCTAGTGTATGTACAAATGTGTGTATGGAATATGACATAGACGCTCCTTCACAAATAAACACAGGCAAACTGGGTGTATTACAGTATGCCTTGGGGCTCTGCCTGTTTATGTTTACAAATAAGCGCTAAGATAGATAGTAGTTAACTTAGCGCTTATTTGTGAGTATTAGTAGCTAACTTAGCGCTAGTGTGTTCTAATGTGACATAACGAGTGAACAATGCAATGACTTATTATTACATCAAAATCTAAAACTTTTTCTATTTTTGTACCATTCTCAAAAGTATCCTTGATTTTAATTTAGTTTCAATCAATTGTATGAATAAGTAAGAACGTAAAAAGTAAATTTACATCTCTGTTAATTCTTAAGCAAAAAGTTTATGGGTGCTGAAAAATGTCATTTTTACAAAAATAAAAATATAATTAAACAGAGAACAGTTTTTTCGCATTAATACATAAACTGTTGGTTTGGAATAGTTGACATTTAAAAGCGACTTAACATGCTCCGAGTAAAAATGCGCGTACATTCTTAACAATTAAAATATATTCAAATCTAAGAGGATAGGGAACTAACTAATTTAAAAATTAACAACTATACCTAAATATATATGCATACCTATACAAATTAATAAAATTGGAATGTCTGTTTGTAGTGTCAAAATTACAGCTTTTTACTAAATGCATATGAAAGTACGGTACTAATAACAAAAGTACAATTTTTAAAGTTTTAGTCTGTCGGTCTGTCTGTCTGTTAGTTCCGGCTAATCTCCGAAACGGCTGGACCTATTTTGACGGGATTTTCACTGGCAGATAGCTGATGTCACAAGGAGTATCTTAGGCTACTTTTATTTTAGAAAAAGAATTAGGGTTCCGCGCAAAAAAATTAAAACCCCAAAAAACTCGCGGGCGAAATCGCGGGGAGCTACTAGTATGATCAATAAAGTAAGGTCGCAGCCTGTATAACATACATCCGATTGCACACACATTCTTCATTATTCATAAATACATTCATTCTTCTCGTATGTAGGTATATCCATAAATAACACTCAGGTGTCAATAATATATTATTACTTGTTTTGTGGGCTGTTATGCATAATAATATTTATAATACTGTTTTTATATAAACATCTATTTGGAAACAAAGCTTTTTAAGTAGTAGAGCCATGCTGCAGTTATATTATTCACACCTACACTTTCATAGAATACCAGCGTAAAATAGCAGCTTAATACAATGAAAAAAAAATGTGTTTCGTATGTACGGTCTTTTTACTGAAAACTGACATGTGTATTTTGATTCTGAATCTAGAATAGATGTAATTGTCTATGGGCCCCAGCATCCACACACCCTTAATCTATAAAAGAACCACCTTCCGTAAATTGCCTTTTTGTAATGCTTATCACGTTTAAGATTTGTATAAGTTACATTTATTTACCAAAAACAAAGATTTGTTCGTATTTTTCTATTATTTTCGCTTTAAACTTAGCACACAAAATGTTCATTTAAGATAATACTGCAGAAACACTTCGATAGAAGTTGCACGACGACCTACAAGGATTTATAGGGGCTTGAGCTATGAAAGGCAATAAATATACAGGGTTTAACATTAAGGCGCATTTACATTGGATTTTTAAAGTATACTTTTTATGAACAATGACATTTAAAAGGTGTCTGAGTAACGAGGAAAAATATTAAGAACAATGCACATAAACACACATGATGACATCCAACATGTTGGACAAATTTCAATTATTGTCAGGGATCAAATAATATCATTCTTTAAAAAATGAAAAGGTACTCCAAAATATCTTCCTAGATCCGATGGTAAAATATTAGCCAAAGTATTACATAACATATTATCGATAATATATTTCCGAGATAAATTTTAAATTCGGAGATACACGTTATGCTGATGCTTAAATCTGAAAATTCATAATTTGTAAATATCCCAAAAAAAAAACTCTGTGTGACTCGATCGAATACAGAATATTATCCAGATGAATTTTAAATTCAATATCAATAACTACACGTTATGCTGATATTTATATATCTAAAAATTCATAATTTGCAATTATCCCAAAAAAATTTCTCAGTGTCTCGATCTAATACAGAATGTAATTACCACGACTTTGATGTTAGTTATTCAACATATATATTTACACGTACCCTCTGCCTTTAAAAATAATTGAACCTTATTAACCTATGTTTTCCGTACATCGCTCATACTAAGCTTTAATCTTTCCCTACATTTTCGCGAAGATTTTATACAAAGGTCTATCAAAGGATATACGTATGTGAGGAGTGCCATGTGTATGAGCCCTTATTTAAGAACGCGAAACTGGTGGTGGCTGATCGTGACTTAGGAACAATAAATAGAGCGCCGTTTAGTCGGCACACGTGGGCGATCTCTAGAACTGCTCACCCACGTAAGTTAAAGTGACATTTTGTTGTATTTTGAATTCAAATTAATGCATACAGTAGATACGGATACTTATCCATTTTCCAGTTTACAAAGTTTCCAAAAAAAAATCAAAGGACAGTATCAGCTGTAGAAATACCTCGTTTAACATAATATTTTAATATACTTACAACATAATATTTTAGTTTAACATAATATATTATACAAATATTATGAAAGAGGGATCCTTTAACGGTATTTACAAGCAATTAAGCTCCTTACATATGCAATACTATATTATTCATTGGCAAAATATTTTTTTTATAAAAACCGTTGGGATTGCTTAACTGAAGTCGACAAATACGATCTTATTTAACATGCTTAAAGGGTAATTAATTTTAGTTATTAATTGTTTTTTTTTCTTCGTAAATGGGACCAAAAATGAATATTCAAAAACTGAAGGTAGCCGGGCTAACTATGACATCGGGACATTAAACACCAGTCCCCCCCCCCACCCCCCTCCCCGTCCACCCTCGTGACCATGGCTGCTGCAAAGCACCCGAAACGTCGGGAACTAAACAGTTAAATTAAACGCGATAGAATCCGTAAACACTTGTTTCATTTACAGACACAAATTTTTATTAATATGTTATATTTATTAAAAAAAAGTTACCTTGACATTGCGCGTCCTTTATAATAAAAAGCAGGAACGCCGCGATAGTGACAATCCTCCAACGTCGTCGTCCCATTGTTGGCGTATTATTTTTCACCGTATCATTGATATTCTTGTTACTAATCGATTTACAACATTTATGTCGTTATATGTTTTTTCAAGAATGTCATATTTGGTGCGAAGGAATTAGCACAGTCATCGATTTCAACCACTATATATCGTTTGCGTTTTCACATCTGGAACAAAAAAAAAGTTACTTAAATAATTCACACACCGCTAATTAAAAAACAAAAAAGTATGTGGTAAAAAGTTTTTTTTTTGTATTGTAAATAAATGCCTGCGAACATCGTATTATGCCTTTAAAAACTAGACTAACTAAGACTACCGTTAGAACATATTAAAGTCTACCGCTGAACATAGGCTTCCCCCATAGATTACCTCATAGGGGAAATATTTGCCATAGTTGACACGACTGGCAAGCGGGTCGGCAACCGCAGGCAAAAACAGCACACAAGCGTTATGAACATCAATATACCAGCCCACATAGAACTTAGAGTTCTTTTAATTGCGTATAACGGTTATAAGAGTGTTGAAAAGAGGTTATATCCTTATAGGAGTGGTTTATGAGTTATTACTTTATACAACTTGAGCTGTAGCTCTACCTCTCTACCTTTTCTGACACTTTCTCTACTTAATACACTGGCCTCTTTTCATTTTTAAGAGAGTTTTAGGGCATGGTAGTATCCGCCGAGCGCCGCGTAGATTAGTTAATAGATTTTTATGAAATGTGTTACAAATAATGATAATAGTTTAACAATTATAGAAACTTGGTGATTCGGTAGCGCAGTTGCTTTCAAGTCTACGTGTACCATTTGCAATCAAAAAAGCAAGTCTGCATTGTTCCATATGAAATGTAGGTATGTTTGAAAATCCCTCCTCCGACGGTGAGATTTCCACCGAGGAAGATGTTGCTGCCAATTCTCTGTTTCATTTCTCTCTGAAATGAACCCTTTGACCATTTAATACTTTCAAATTATAGAAAACGGTTTAAAAATTTGATAACTTTCTTCTCGTTCTCAACAAAGTACAATGGGACGTGTGGAACATTCACGAGCGGTTTACTTTTATTATAATGATTTATCAATAAAGGATAAAGAAAGTACAAAATGAAACGACCTTAGAATTTATATTTCATCGATAACGTTCCATATAAGAATTCCAGGACCATACATGTAAGCCAGTATGAGTGGTAAGTATTTAACGCGCTGGCATACGTGAAGTGGTTTCAAAATATTATCGAAGCAACAGCGAAGGAATTGAATTAGAGAAATAGCATGAACTCAGTTCAGCATTATTTTATATTGATACTAGTTTTTAAGTAATCATTTGAAAAGAAAGCTAATACCTAAAACCTATAACTAGCGCAGGGGCTAAACATTCAGCTGTGATGCTGCAGGTCCTTACTCTTTAGCTCTTTACTCTGTGCTGCAGGTCCGCGAGTTCGAATCCCGTACGGAGCAATATCCAAGCAAGTATTTGTATGGCCTGCAAATAATTAAATAATTATTTCCGGGTATGGATGTTTGTCCTTCAGCAATATATATATATATATATATATATATATATATATATATATATAATATGTTAAATTTCCCCACGAAACTGAATAAAAACCTAGTGTGCTCTTTTTTTTAAATAGAAAAATAGAAATTTATTTTTTATAGACATTTCTTATAAAACGTTGATCTGCGCAATTTACATGTTAATTCGTATTTATACTGTCAACAAGCTATTTATAGCATTAACTAAATTGCAATGTCGATAACAATGATCCGTTAATTACTTAATTAGGTTATAAGTGTGTTCCGATTGTTTGTTTGGTAAACAAACATTTCAACGGTGAGGGTATGTGGAATTTGGTAATAAAATTTGGTCTTTATTCGTCTCGGTACAGGCAACCGCCCTTTCTGAGAGAATTTCTTAATGAGAGAAGAGCTCACCGTGACTGCATTGCGTGTTGACGGACTGGTCACTGGTAGGTAAGTCGACACTTTAATTTGCAATTAACAATTTAATTGATGCCGGTGGGATTTGAATCCGATTTGCAGCTTTGTACTGTGAAATTTACAGCGAGAGCTTAGCCCCTGGTCAACCACAGCTCTGAGTGTCCCCGTTTGATCGGCACAATACTCGGCAGTGAAGAAAAACATCATAATGGAACCTGCATGTCTGGAATATTACCAAAAACTACGAAGATATGTGAGTTCTGGCAACATGCATTGGGTCTGTGCGGCGGACACTTCCTTGTCCAAAAACCTTCTCAAAAGGAAAGCCTCAAACCTGAGAAATAAGGAAGCCTGTACTCAGCAGTGAGCCGTATGTAGACTTTAATTTTACTTTAGTGGGGTTGGAATTCTGGAATTCAGGCTGTCATGAACTACCACGGCTCCAATTTGTGTGTAAGCAAAGATAATGATTATTTCCTTAAATTATAAGTTCTTACGTCTGTGTGTTTAAAACTTCAACTATGTTTTCATTCTTATTATTATACTCTTTTCTTGTAATTTATACGAAAAGAGTAATTCTATAAGCCGTGTGCTCTAAAATTTGTGACTAAGACTAAGACACCATTAAAACACTATAAGACGGCTGAGATGTAGATTTAGATGTAGATTGAAATGAGGAGGGGAAATTTTGATGTTCATAAGAGCTTTAAATAAGCCTAAATTGAATAAAACATTTTGGCTTTGACTTCGATTTTAACTTTGACTGCCTAGCCTAGAGGTCAGACACCATTACGTCGCCAGTTACGGGTTTGAACAAAAACACATTATTATTTTCTTTATTATTATTCGATTTTGGGTAATATTGTTATAGTAAGCAAATATATCTTTCTGACAAAAAATAAAACTAAAATTATCTGTGACACCACAGTCAAGCCTATCTCCAATATTATTGCATAAGCTTTATTAAGTACATTAGACTCGGTCTTCTAAAGACAAATGAGTATATTTGTGTACACATATATATGTATTTGTGGCTCTGTTATAATATCTCCAGCGCAGTTGACGTTGAGTTGAGTTTCTTTTTTTAATAATGTTCAAAAATTATTTGGAAGTAATTGTCGGTGTTGTTTAAATCAGAAAGAAGGCCATAATCGTCATTATAAATATTTTAACTAAGTATGCAAGTATACAAAAGTCATTAATTGCAAACATAAATTTAATATTACTAGATTGGTTATATTCTAGTGCAACAAATTTGTCGTCATAATTTCACAACGCTCATATTTACCAATGTGCCTAAATGAAATGTTACTTAATGTGAAACCCAGACTCTAACTAAAACCAGTGTGGTACGAACGTCGACAGTGGATCATCAAAGATTATTACAATAACATGCCTTTTTCAGCAGAGCATCGGTCGTGAATACGAATCGTAGTGAAACGTATCGTGACGCGTCGGCTGCGTCACGTACTCGTAGATATCGTCGTCGGCGGCTGCGCGTTCGACTCGTGAAAGCGGTTTGTTACGGCTCGATGGGCAGTTTCTCGTAAATACGCATTCGTTATTGACGGATATATGTGTATTCCTACTGGCCTATTTTTACATTGGCAGTATTTTTAATCTTTACTTTAACGAACCTAAGTAATTTGAAAAATGTATTCATATTTACAACTTAGAGCCGTGGTAGCTCAGGGGCTAAACGCTTGCTGTAAATTTCACAGTACACAAGAACAGTATTAAAAGAGCGACCCAGGCTCGATCCCCACTAGCACCAATGAAATTGTTAACTGCAATTTAAAATGCTGATTTACCACATGCTTGGCGGTGAAGGAAAACATCATGAAGAAACCTGCATGTCTAAGAAATAAAAAAAATATATTACGAAGACATGTGAATTTCGCCAAAACGCATTGGTGCAGCGGGGCGGACATATCCTTGCCCTAAAACCAACCGATAATACCACATTTGGAGTTGAATGATATAAAGCTTTGAAATTAATTTGTTGTTGCGCGCCACTACGGCTTGACATTTGACGGCTTCGTGGCGCAGTGGCTTAGCAATGAGTGCTGCGCTGTAGGGCACGGTTTCGAATCCCGCACGGAACAAGTATTTGTATGGCCTACAAATAATTGTTCCGGGTCTGAATGTTTGTCCTTGTGCAATTTGTGTTTGTAAGCTGCCTCCACGATACAGGGGAAAATCTTAGTGTGGGGGTTATTTAAAAAAAAAACAACAAACAACAAAAACAACCTACTGTAAGTTAAATTTACTATGCCTATAATGCCTATAAGCAATAAGTTCACAAAGTTTTACCGAAATCTGATGAACGGTATGGCAGCGCATGAAATACATCGAAAAGCGCATAATATACGAACAAACCATTGAAAGGGCACACCTTGACATCTCGTTACTGCGGTCATAGACACATATGTACATCTATCCAAAATTAAGAATCAAAATTGAATGCATACTAGTTACGCTGGTCAAAAGGAGTCTTCTGTTCTCGTCTCTAACCAAAATAGTTTTTCTCTGGTCGAGCCAACCTACTTTTGCTCCTTCAGCGAAAGCAAATTTTAATCGTAGTTATTTAAATAATAAATTATTTATTTCGTGACGTAAGAGGCGACTATGGGAAATTCTGAAATGATTTCATGGTTATCAATCAATAGCTGTATAACCACCTTGTTTATGTTGGTCGTAAAATTCGCAGACGGCGACACCTATAAGACTTGCCATAATGCCATTGCAACAAAGGTCTTAAAAAGGTGATTTTAGATAACGATGATACTGATTGTTAGTCCTTCAATCCTCTTAACAGTATTAAAATTTTCGTGTACACATAATATATATAGAAACATAAAGAAGCTTTCCTTAACACTTTCCACTATGGTTATATTATCTTGCACATATTTTCGTGCTTAATTGCTGCGAGGAATGTTGCACAACAATACGGTCTCATACAAGTAAATAACGTAAGTCAAAAAGCGTGTCTGAGGCAGACTTAAATTGCCCCTATTGTCGAGATTATGAAACATTCTCACGGCCGCTGTATTGTAATGCACGGAGCCCA